CACTATTTATTATATCTACTTCCTTTTTATGCTACTACAATACTTCTATTATTCTTACGATATTTCCTATCTTATACAGCTCCAACCCTTCAAACATCACTTTACCTAATATCCCTTGAAGTCACTCGTTTTGTGACTATAGTGCTTCTCTCCATCGAAAAGTCAAAGTGCTTTCTCCATAGATGTGCGGGGGGACCCAACCCTGCTGCTGGACGCGTTGGTGGTGATCTGTACTAGAAGTCTGTTCAGGGATTCAAGGTACTTTTAGGCAGCTATATTAGCACCCGTGGGATTGGAAGATGTAGTTACGAACCGTTATAGCAAAAGCCGGAGTGCTTTGCCAATCTCCGCTCACTTGTGGGCAGACGCATCATTACTCTCTCCTGAAGGAGAGTTTATAATCGCAGTCGTCCGTTCAACTCTCCTATATGGTTGTGAAACCTGCCCCATCAGGTCGACAGACATAAAGAGGCTCGTCACATTCGATCATCGCTGCCTTCGCAGCTTAGCTCATGTCTGATGGGAACACCTCGTGAGCAATAAGCATGTCCGGCGTCGCGTATTTGGTGCAGGAGAGCGAGTGAACAGCTCAGCACCATTATATCACGCACTTGGCTCCGATGGCTGGGCCACGTGTTGCGCATGCCAGCACACCGACTCCCGCGACGTGCATTGTTTGCGCGCTGGGGGTGCGGTTGGAAGAGGAGGAGGCCAAGCGATGACTTGGTCGAGAGAAATGAAACCCTCACTTCGAAGTTGGCGTCGGTTGGTGCATCCCTATTCCTGGCCGGATATCCTAACAACTTATCATCATTTTTCTTGACACACATTCTTATAATGCATGTATCTTCCCCAATATTCTTTTTTATTTTATATTTCTTTTACCCACCCCCCCACCTTCATATCATCCCCTCTATTCACAAATCACATATTTTATACCTAAAATTACTCTTAAACTTCCTCCCTATAACTAACCTTCACCCTCATACCCACCTAACCATTTTCACCTCTTTCTAATCCCTAACAAAACCCAAAAAAAACCAAACACCCCCCCCACCCCCCCAAAACAAAAACCAACCCCAACACACCCCCAACCAACCACACAACCCAACCCCTCCCCCAACACACAAAACCCTCACAACCCCAACCCCTAATCACTCCTTCCCACCCATCCCCACCAACCCCCACCCACACCACCCCCACCACACACCCACAACCACCCCCCACCCAACAACCACCAACCCCACCCCACACCCCCACACCACCACCCCCCCACCACACCCCACACCCAACCCCCCCCCAACCCCCCCCAACCACCAACCACCCAACCACCCAAACCCCCAACCACCAACCCCCCCCACCCCAACCCACCCCCCCCCCAAAACCACCCCAAACCCCCCCAACCCCCACCCCACCACCCCCCCCAACCCCACAACCCCCCCACCACAACACCCACCCCCCCACCCACACCCCCCCACCCCCACACCCCCCCCCACCCACACCCACACCCCCCACCCCACACACAACACACCCACCACCACCCCCCCACCCCACCACCCACCCCCCCCCCCCCCCCCAACCCACCCCCCCCACCACCCAACACACCCCCCACACCCCCCCCCCCCCACCCCCCCCCAACCACCCACCCCCCACCCCCCCCACCCCCCACACCACCCCCCCCACACACCACCCCCCCCCCCACCCCCCCACCCCACCCCCCAC